TCCCTGTACCGTCCCATCCATTTTTCCCAGCTCAGTCACGTACACTTCCCTCTCCTTCATGCACCACGGACATCCGCGACTACATGAACACGGTCTTCGCATTCGAATCACATTTGAACTCGTCGTCTCGTCGTCTTCCTCGTCTACCGTCCTATGTCTTCGTCGACGTTCTCGAAGGCCTATGTCCCCGGTCCTGAATTTGACCTTAAGCTTTGTTCCTGCATCCATTGGTCCATGTAGGTAGTCCTTGAACCCTATTCCTTCCTTCAACATTCCGTACACTTCTAGAGTTCCTTATCCTGGATTCTTTCCTCAGATTTTNNNNCTATCCTATCGTTCAGCAGCTTACAGAACACTTTTCCTACTGTGTTCAACAGTGTGATCCCCCTGTAGTTTCCTGGGTCAGTCTTGTCTCCTTTCTTGAACAAGTTCACAACCACTCCTTCCCTCCATCTACTTGGCGTGTACTCGTTTTTCCACACCTACNTACAACCTTGACCCATTCCGTGGGTTGTCTACCCCTCTTTTTGTTTGCCCACTTCGCCTCCCATACTATTCTCGGCAACCTCTCCTCTCCCATCCCGCACATGCGATATTGTAATGTCTGCTTCCTCGCGTCGCTTCCCGACCGTAGGGATTGGATCCCCTATTCCGCCCTCACGGCTGCATTACTTGTACACCTGGAGAATCCANTCCTGGTAGAACTCGTCCTTCTTCGACGCTTCTCAGCAGTTTCCTGAAGGGTTCTACACTACCAGCCAGTCTCTTCTGGAATTCATCCGGTGTCCCCTCGCCTCCCAAACGCTCTACCTTCCACCGGAACACTTTCCTCTCTTTCTTACTCTAACTTCTAGATCGGTCGACGTTTGCCCATATGAGCAAGTGGTCGAACCTATATCTACNACTGGTCCACTACTGCAATCTTCTCGATCCCCCACTTCCATCTATGTTCATCTGGTTCTTCCTTGTTCTCGCTGCAAACCATGACGGCACTCTTCTGAATGTTGGCAGACAATCTCCACTTGTCAANCCGGAACACTTTCCTCTCTTTCTTACTCTAACTTCTAGATCGGTCGACGTTTGCCCATATGAGCAAGTGGTCGAACCTATATCTACCACACTTACGTGCAGCTCTGGGATCTGTGTGCTCCCCCTATCTACCAGGATGTAGTCGAGGATCGAGTTTTGATTGCCAACTGCCCGTCCTGCTGAACTCCGGCATATCGCGCTCCCTCCTACCGTCCAACACTATCAGCTCGTTGCTTCCCAAAAATTCAAGCATCCTCACTCCGTTGTCATTCACTTTGTCTTCTTGGTGCTGCCCAATCGTCTGCCCTCTACTGGAAGCTTTCCCTACTCTGGCGTTGAAACCGCCCACCATGACAATTTCTCCCTTCCTACTGAACCTCTGGACATGTTCCCCAAGTTGTCCAAAGTTCTCCTGCGCCTTGCTTGCCACTTTCTTCGACGACGGTGGGACGCATACGTTCCCTAGAAACAAATCTTTCTCACCCCGCTCCCAGGTGTCTTAAGCCACAGGCTTTCCTCGAACTCCGTTTTCACCACTACTTCCATCACGTCAAAAAAGTGTTCCTTGACCAGGAATCCGACCGCGGGGGGGGTTGTTTACAACGTCGTTGCCAAGCGACAAAAACCCAACCCAAATGGCAAACACCGGGGGGTCATTTAGGCTGGGAGGGGGACGCGGACGACACGGCTTGGCCACGTCATCAACGCTCAGTTGCCAGAAAACAAATGCTGCGGTTACTCCAACAGGTGATATACCCGGTAAATAGTAGAGAAGGAAACTTTAGCGGCCTTGCGGGTAGGTGCCGGCAGGGTGTTGCAAACAGGGAACACTCCGGTGCGATAAACGCGATCGGCACAACATGCAACACTCTGAATACGTAGCTCCATCACAGATCTACTGGCACCACTCGAATCCGTAGAGACTATTTTTTTAAAGATGACCCAACGAATCTATATCTAAGACAAGAGTCTACGATAGATTAGCAATGAAATCACAGCGTCAGAGAAAGCTACCTGTATTTCCACGGTTTCCCGAGCAGCACACAGCGAATTTTTCGTTTTTCAGTGTAGGCTGTCATCAGTGATTCTTCAGTGAATACGCTTCTAGACTCGTCATTGACGATCAAAAATTCACGGCAAAAAGAACTTTTCCGGACAGTATATGGAGGCCTTTCCGTCCCGATCCGTGGAAAGACTGAGCTGGTTTTGCGTGGGGCCTGCAACTGTTCACGGACCAGGATATTTGAGAGAAGGATCGGTCGGGCGCACCGCGGGCGCTGCAACATCATTGAGAACGCTAGCAAAAGCGGCGTTCAGTCCGTTGTTGGTCCAAAACCGAGAAAAAGCATGGCCCCTCGTCTTCAACTGCTGTTGATGCTACATTTTCTGTTCACACATGACAGTCACGGAAACCGTAGTACGAGTACAGCAGCAGCGCCAACGCCCCCAACGCGCTGATTCCTTCGGTTCGGCTTCCTATATGATACTTCCGGCGCTGTGCTGCCTCGTGCGAATTGGGGCCTGGGGTGCTACTCCAGAAGGTGTGTGAGAGATGTATGCCACCTCGCCAAACTGCCGTTTGAAAAAATGCGGCGAGATTGCCTGTTATTGGTCGGAGACAGAACACAAATCCAAGGCACCACGGAGCAGTAGAGCAATAGGGTATAGGCCGGTCGCCCCGGTGATCTAGTTGGTAACCTCGAAACCTTCTACAGGTCAGGTCAGGGGTTCGAATCCCGGCGTAAGCGACCTTTTCCTGCAAAGTGAGTTTTTCTCTCGCTTCCGCTCCTGGCCTAGTGGATAGCGCTAGTTCGTGTGTACACAGAGGGAAGAGAGTGCTGAACTCTTCTCGCATTAAAAATCGAAGGCAAAGTACCGAGGAGGGGAGGGTAGAGAGGGGCTCTTCTGTGTGACCACGGGTTGGGGTAAACGGCACTAATAGTGCCGTGAGCGCTGATTTGAAGTGAAGACAAAAAAAAAAAAAAAGGGCCTCCGGTGATTCTTTCGGATTGGTCGTGTATGTGATGCTGACCGTCAGTGCCCCTGCCGCTCTATGACCGTTCACCTCGTGTTTTTGACAGGTGCAACAGTGGAAATTGAGCTGGCAAACGGAAGACACTGCACGCAACATCCAGGTTGCGACACTCTGCCCTGCGCCTGTTGCTGAAAACAGCAGGCCGGGTGGACGAGGTCCTTGTAAGCGTACTGCTGTCCTTTGTGTCGGGTGCTGCTCTGAGTGCTTTCACCGCTGCTGCAAACGAGCAAAGCCAAGTCAACCTCTTTGTCGGTCAAAGCGTTACGCTACTTAGCGAAGGAAACGTTTTTTGCAACGCCTTCACGACTAGTAGAACAAGCGGAACAAGAGCCGCTTTATTTTCGCTGCCTCGTGTTGTCACGTTCGTTCGGGAACTTGGGGGGGGGGGCGTAAGCAACGACCCTAAGCTTCACAACCCTGAAAAGGACAAAAGGAAACCCCACTATCCCTACCGGCAGGTTGTGGTTCGATCCTCCGTCCGGAGTTTTTTTTCGGGATATATTTCCAGCAACCTGTGGTTGAAGGCAATCTAGGTCGTGGGCAACCAAACTTCGGCTTCACGGCGAGGGGAAGGGATGGCTGAACCTTTCTCGGGATATATACGAAGTAAAAACGAAGGCAAGCACCGCAGCGGGAAAGATGGGGTAATAAAAAGGCAAACGAAAAAAAAATTTAAAAGCTGCTGTGTGTCCTTCCTTTGTGTGGTACTGGCTGATAAGTGAGGTTTATACTTTTATTTGTTTCTGATTATATTTTGTTTTCTT